AAAGAGAAGGCTTCTGCAATCAAGGCCACTAGAAACATTCACACCATAAGGGAGTTTGAAATGACTTCAGAAAATGCAGCCTTGATCACAGTGCTTCAGTATGGGTGAGAGGAAATTTTTAAAAGCTTTATTTATTTTATTTTGAGTTTTTGTAAAAACAAAAAACCCAAACAAATCTGTGCTCAGTATAACACATTTCAAAGTTTCTATTTTGTACATAATTAGCAATGTAAATCAAAAATTTAATATTACCAGAATGTACAGAAAGGCTACTGTCTAGCAAGGAAAGAGCTTTTGTTTTCAGGACTGTTGGAAAAACATGTAGACTAAGAGTTGCACATAAAATCAGCTAACACATAAAGCCCTCAGGCAGGAGTTACATGAGGCAACTGAAAGCAGAGCAACTCCAGTCCTAGAGCTAGTATCAAACCCAGGACTATTTTTGGGCAGGAACGTACAGGAATGGAGTTCCGGCTGGCTCCCAAGTTGGCCACGCCCAGCAGGAACTCATTAGCATAATAGGCCACACCCAACAGCAGAAACGCATTAGAATTGGCTACATTAGGGGTGTGTGGCCTAACATGCAAAGGAGTTCCTGCTACAAAAAAAGCCCTGGCCGTTTTGACCACAAACAAGGTCAACAGAATAAGAAGCAAAAGGTGGGCGTGACTGGATGACCACACTTCTGGTAACATGGGAATGCGGCCTAATATGCTAATGAGCTGTGCTGACAAGGCTGTGGCCTAATATGCTAATGAGTTTCTGCTGTTGGGTGTGGCCTATTATGCTAATGAGTTCCTGCTGGACTTTTTCTACAAAAAAAGCCCTGATCAAACCAGGAGAACATGAAAACAGCCCCAGCCAGTGTGGTCTAGATGGTGAACCATTGGCCTTGGGAGGAGCCAGGCTTTGGATCAAATCTGTGCTTACTCACAAACCTCATGGCCAGCAACAGGGATGGTTCAGATACAATAGTAATCCACTTGCCTGTACATTCTTCCCTTCCCTTGCACACTTATAGTTAACTGGCAACTCCCAACTTAACAGAAACCATAACTTGCTATTACAACAAAACCAGCAAACCATGGTTTGAAGCTGGTTTAGAATGGTTAGAAGGGAAACCACAAACCAGAGCTTGTCAATCTGGATATAATACCTATCTATGGTTGTGCAACTATACATACAAAAGCTAAGTCAATTTGCAGAGCTTCACTGCCTCTAAGGAATTCACATTTGCTCAGGTTTCCCTACTTGCATGCCGGAGCAGCTCCACATGTTCACTCAACTATGCATGCAAAACTTCATCTCTCCTTTTAACATGAATTGGGAAGGCCTTCTGTGCACTGCACACTCATTACACATGAATCTGCTAGATCAGCATGGCTGTGTGTACAAAGAATCTACTATCCCTCGGGGACTGTCATCACTGTCTCATAGAAGAGAAAAGAAGAAGAGATTGGATTTATACCCCGACCTTCACTTGGAGTCTCAGAGCGGCTTACAAACTCCTTTCCCTTCCCCTCCCCACAACAGACACCCTGTGAGGTGGGTGGGGCTGAGAGAACTCTGACACAAACTGCTCTTTCAGGAACAGCTGTGCCAGAGCTTGTGACTGACCCAAGGTCACATCAGCAAGTGCATGTGGAGGACTGGGGAATCAAACCCAGTTCTCCCAGATTAGAGTCCGCACACTTAACCACTACACCAAACATATCGTAGAGGTGATATCTCATTTCACAGATGCTCTTCAATCACTTTGTGTATACTTGGTGTGTTTAAATTTTATGCACTTTCAACTTAAAATTAAGTCAGTGTTTTGTTGCTTCCATAATATAAAATGTAAAATAATACAGCTACCTTTTTGATTATTTGACCCAACCAAAGTTAAGTACTTTTAAATCACACAGATTTCAATCTGAAAGATTTACGCATATGTCCAACTCTCCCTCACTGAGATTAAAAGAATTTAAAAGTATTTAAGTTTTGCTGGATAGCACAGCCAATATTTATTTTCCATACCCATCTCTTACTAAAGGCCTAAAGTGTTTTTGGTCATCCTCACTGGTTGAAGGTTGTGTGGTAATGTCATTTACCTCAGCTGAAGTACTGTTGCAGTCCACAGGTTCTCTATGCATCCTAACACATGCCAACAGGAATTAGCATTGCCAGCCTCCTGGTGCAGCCTGAACATCTCCCAGAATCACAGCTGATCTACAGACATCATAGATCAGTTCTTTTGGAGGAAACAGCTGCTTTGGAGGATGGATGCTATGGCATTCTACCCCACTGAGGTCCCTCCTGTCACTAAATCCCAGTCACCAGGCTCTACCCCCAAACTTCCAGAAATGTCCCAAGATGGAGTTGGCAGCCAGAAAGAAGATATGAACCAGGGAGAAGAGGCAGAAGTAAACACCCCTCACATTTTAAAATATAAACTAAAAATTTAAATAAAAATACATATTGTAAATTGTTATTATTTTAAGTAAGCTGATTAAAATTAAATCAGAATAGAAAATGTAGAAGCACATATAATCTCTCGAAACCAAATTAGTGATCCCCTGTCAAAAGTCTGCTTTTAAAGAAAATAAAGATCCATGGGAAAATACTGTTTAGAGGTCAAACATTATTACATGTAGCACAACTGCTCATGCTGTATATTTTTATGATGGGCCTGATACTCGGGGTCAAGGGATGGCAAGTCATGACCAGTGTCCCCTTTAAGCTGAGTTAGTGTGAGCTAGCTCACAACTTTTTAGCCTCCAGCTCATAGATTTTTGTCTTCGCTCGGGAAGGATGGCTCCAGAGCAAACTAATTTATACAGTAGCCAAATCACTCGCTCACAACTTTAATGCCAGTAGCTCACAAAGTAGAATTTTTGCTCACCAGACTCCACAGCTTAGAGGGAGCATTGGTCATCATGACTAGCACCAAAGGCTGGGCTTTGCCTCCTCCAGATACCATCCTGTTTATTATGCTCATCCACTCTGCTGACTTCTCTGATCTTGTACACTCACATTTTCACACTAAGAACCTGAACTTTGCTACTTGTTCCGTTCTCCAGTTACGCACTTACTCTGTTGGACATTTCCCTTTCATCGTACCAAAATAAACAACCAGTCCTTGTTCTTGAAAGTCCTGTGCCCTGAGCTATCTCTAAACAAAGACATGTACAAAGACTCATCGGCTTAAATGAACAAGAGTTTTAGTTGTTTAGTTACTTTGTGTTTCTGGGGAGGAATCTGGGAAAGATGGATGAATATAGGAAATTGAGCAGAATCTATCATAAAGCAACACTGGAAAGATGTATGCCCACCTAGGTAGTGTAACTGCTTTATTTTGTTGTAGGATGAACATGATTTAGTGCTTAGATTAACTAATTAGTATAATGAAACTCAGGAAAGCTTATCCCCTGGAAAACTTTGTTGGTCTGTAAGGTACTATTGGTCTTTAATTTTGTTTTGCTACTATGAGTTAAGACAGCTACTCATTCTCACCTAAAACAATAAGTCTGTTTCACTCTTTAGCAAAGTACCAGTGAAAACAACTGATGCAAATCAAGGATTTAAACCAGACTTTTAAAAAAAAATCAATCCATTCTGCTTCCCTCAACACAATTTAGTTTAACCACTAGATATAACACCACTTCTAACTGAAACAGCAAATTACATTTTTGAGTCCTAACATGTTAATTGAACATTATGAGTCAGCTGTTTCAAGTCTCCTTGACAGTTTCAAAACACTTTATTAAATTAAAAAAAAAACTGTTCAAATCAGAGCCTAAACGCAGTTGCTAATAACAAGACCCTTCTTGTCATGAACTACCCATTGTTCTGGAACCTCAGAGAGATCTGCCTAAAACACAGCAAATATCAGGCCCAGCCTGTTTATGAGGCCTAAGAATGCACTAGGCATTCAAACCTTCCTTTTGCTATACTACAGGGAGTCTGCCCTAGGCTTTCACCACCCAAACTGACTTTGATAACCAACAACAGAGTTTCAGCAAAAGGCAAAGTAGATTTAGATTTCTATGGCAGTCAGATGCATCACTCACAGGGGCAAGAACCTAAAGCCAGAATGAAAAGGGTCAATCGCCCTTACACCAAAACCTGTTTGGATCATATAAGACACTAATAAACTGAAGTTTCACAAGCACGTACAGAGTGCCTTCTAAGCAGAATCAACCAACAGACATCTAGGAACAGGAGTGTTTTCAGGTCCGAGGACAAGCCCTTTAAGTCAACTTGAGCCTTGTCAAGTCTTATTTAGAAACTGATCCTGCCTTCATCTATATCTTGGTAAGCACTAGCAGAAATGTTAGACTTTACAGTCAATTTTGCATAACATGTGCAGTACAAACCAATCCTGTATCCCTCCCCAACCACGAGATGGATTTTTAAACTAAGAACAAGGAGAAAGTGGCTGCGTGAAATACACAGGAGATTCACACGCCCCCAAAAGTGTTCGTTAGGGCGTCGGAGGGACTAAGCCTCCCCCCCACCTCCAAGAAAGCCCCGATTCAGCAGAATTGGGGGAGGGGAAAAATGAGAAGCAATGCAGAGTTAAATCCTCGGAGCTCAAACCTTCCTTCAAGGACACGAGAGACATGTGCACAGCAAATGGTCGCCCCCCCCCCC